ATTTACATCAGGCTCCTGATGGGAGGAAGTCTGTTTGGGAGACAAGCTATTTCACTCGTGATCGGAGGCTAGCAATAGGAAGCAGCCTCTTTGCAGAAACAAAGTATGGGCAGTTTTGCAACCTCGCGGGTCTCTCCTTGGCTGACTTCCTTGAATAAGACGCCCTTCAATTTTTAGGGTAAGGATTTTAGAAAAAATATCGCCTTATAGTCGGAAAAATACGATATGTGCCACCTAGACAACAGGTAAATTGGGATAACCTGGAACAGGCATTAGTGGATATGTTACATCATCCCACGTGTAGATTTAATTATTTGCGGGGATTTTAATGCTAGAATCAGCCCAGGTTTGGAAATACTGAACTCAAAGGATAAAGGCTTTTTTTGAAATGGAGGCCATTTTCCCTCTGGGTCATATGTCACATGACAAAATCCAGAATAAGCGTGGATTAGAACTACTTAAATTAATATATAAATTACAAATGGTCAGTTTACATGGATCACAATGGGATCAATCTGGGGGTTCTTATATATCAGTCAGCCACAGAGGGGGGCTGTGATTAATTATATATTCATATTGCCCTCATTGATCCCATTAGTACAGTGTTTTGATATTATAGATAGACCAGAGAGTGATCACTTACCACTTGGTTTGGAAGCTTAAATTGGCCAAGTGGTATCGATCTTTTAAAGATGGACAAGGAATGTCATATTATTTACAGTCTCTTACATCCCATTCCCTGAGACAACCTTTCACAGAACTACGTTTTCAAACAATGCCAACAGCCTATTTGGATGGAAGATATAAAGGATGACCCACTATACACCATTTATACATTTGTATTAACTCACAGGTGGAAGATCTGATCCATTACTTATTACATTGCAAATTATATCAGGAACCTAGAGCTAGATTCATCATGCCTTTGTTAATCCAACTGAATCAGTCTAGTTTAGAAGAAAAAATCTATTTTCTGTTGACTGATGTAGACGAACGTGTAACAAAGCAAGTTGCATTGCTTGCAATGGCCACAAGGAAGATAGGAAAGCAGATGTTGACAAATAGTGCTGTTCATATTGGGGGGGGGTATTGAACTGATATGGATTGTTGTAATTTTATACGAATTTTGCTAAAACCTATGGTTGCAGATAAATGTATATATTATACTATAGATACTGCTATGTTTTGTGTATGCAGAATGGAGAAAAGCAAGATTCTGCCAGAGAAAAACAGTGACGCTCAAAAAAGAAGAGGTTCATTATTAATTAGAGCAAAAATTTGATGTAATTGAATGACATGAATGTGGTCATAGCAATGGTAAAATAGGAAAAGATATTGGAATGCCTGAATTTATGATGTGCAATATTATAAACTGTGCAGGGGAAATAAAAGAAAAAGGTAAAGTTGCATCAGCTTCTTGCGGTTTGCAAACATCTCCAAGGAGATTGAGAGACAATAAAGATGTTTTTGTCGGTGTAAGCTCACTTTTAGGAATGATATTTAGAAGCTTTTTATTTTTATTTCGCTTTCTATAACTATTCTGTGACTTTGTTAACAGTAAATGTAAATTATAAGTATATTCTTTTTTCTCCTTTACTGTCATATTTCATTAATATACATATACAAATTTATGTTTTAAAATTTTCATTGCCTATTTCCCTCGAGCTGGAACCAGTTACCCTGTTTTCCATAGAAATATCATTTCGAATAGTGTGAATTAGAATAACGCAGCCATTTCATGGGATTCATTAACCACACTAATGAAGACCTCGCCGTAAAACACTGTGGGAACCACTTCCTGGTCTGGAGTTCCCCTCTCTGCTCCCATCTCCCTTGACCATGACCAGAAGTCCCTGGATCACACCCCTGACATCACAATCTGCACATGCTTGCCATTGGCTGCAGCACCTGCTGATCAAAAGAAGATAAAGGTGAAAGGATGATGGAGTGCTCCCACTGTCCTTTCCTATACCCAAGGCAGCCAGAGGCAGAAACAGAGGCTTTTGCAGGTATGAAGAGCGCTGGTACTGAAGCGCAGTGCAGATAACATGCACACATTTTCACTTGTTCTTTCTCCTAAAGCAAATACATAAGTTGAATGAATGTAAGCCATGGCTTAAATATCCAGGGCGATAAGTGGAAAAAAAGTAGGAACTAGAGACATTAGAATACAGGGTTGAAAAGGAAGGTTTGGTTTGGTTTGGTTCTTAATAACTGCATTATTTCACCATATATTAGCAGTTCCATGAACGGTGACTGTGGCTAATAAATCCAGATATTTGCAAAGTAGTTGTACAGGTCTTCAAAGCATATCCTTGATATTGTAGCAACTGAACCTGCATATTTTTATGTAAAAGAAAACCTTACTGATTTTAGCAAAATTTACTTCACAGAAATACTTACAATCAGTGCATTAATTTCTAAGAACTCCTACCTGACTTTGCAGAGATTCTGAGCCTGTTATTGTATCCTGCTATTTCTCTAACAGCCTCCCTCTTTGACTCAGTTCTTTTAGCACAAAGCCATAGGGCAACTGATCTAGCTCAGCGATAGGTCCCATGTTTCAGTGGTAGGTCTCAGAGTCAGTCCTCAGTACTTCCAGGGATGGTTGGAGAAATTCCTGTCCTGGCAGCCAATCAGTGTTGTCAATACAGCGTTAGATGAATCAATCTGATTCAGGGTAAGACAGCTTCCTATGGCGTGTGAATTGCTTATTGCTGATTCTGGATATGGGGCAAAGGTAGGCTGGACGTGTGCTGCCAGCAAAATAGAATATGGAGGTCAACAAAGATATTCCCCCTACTTTGTAAAAGGTGGCAGCTTTCTTGCAGGTCTCATCTCCGTAAGCAGGGGGCAAACTATCACAGTGCACGAGGGCCATAAATTGGGCAAGCCCGTTCCCTTTTAGTGACTCACTGCCATAATTTTTGGGACTTTCTTTTTTGTTTTGTATGAAAAGAGGCCTCAGCTGGGGTTGGCAGTAGATGACAGAGGTGAATGACGCTAGGAATGCTTAACATGATGTTGGGAACTAGGAACAAACTTTCAGCATTGTATGCTTGCCAGCCACATACCTGCTTGTCTAAAATATAGCACGTAACAAGGAACTGAGAAGCAAAGATGCACTGTGACGATGTATGAAACATTTTCAAATCGGAGCACTTCAAGCTTGAAATAACCTGCCTCAAATTCAAAACAGTTATTATGAGTGTGCAGTGGGCTGTTCTGACCATTGCTGAGAATTCAAAACAGGGGTTCCTACAAGCTAAGAACACTTCCAGAATGGTCGGAGCAACTCATTCTGAACTCAAAGTAATTGTTTCAAACTCAAAAGGGAGCATTTTGAGTTTGAAATGTTTCAAATTCAAAATGTTCTCTCCACCCCTAGCGGAGCTTCAAGACAGTGGTGTGGTGCTTCATGATGGAAGGCTCCAAGAATTGTGGTGCCTGCCCTAATTTTGAAGCCGAAAATGAAAAGTAGTGCCCTGCCTTGAGAGTCTTTGCTGCAGAATTTTGTTACACCTTGGAATTGCTATCTGTTCTTCTATCAGCTCGATTTCCATTCCGTTTTCCTCAGGGAAAGGACTGGTGTTTTTGGCAAGGTCTCCCGGTACCAAAACCCATTTATTTAAAGTGTGAGTGTGTACTTGTATACCTGAACTGCCAGACAGCAGTGTAAATCTATGGCATATATCACAGCCCCCTCATTTTCTCTCCTGATTTACAGCTGGCCTCACCCAAAAGAAACAGCACCATGGTTGATTACTACCAAGCACTCAACGTCCCACAAACTGCCTCCTCAGATGATATTAAAAAGGCGTAAGTAGCCCTTGCTCCGAGCTCCCTTTGCCCGTCTGTAAGGCTACTGGATCTGCCTTCCCCAGTCAGATACCTTTCGTTTGAGTTGGGCTACACAATTACAGCCTTTGTTACCTAAAGCTAATACGCATCACTCTGTATGTTGTGTTTGTTGAGGGTGGTAGGAATCCAACACATCTGGGAGAGTTCCAGGTTGGAAAAGACTGCGCAAAACCTTTTCAGTTCTAAGCATTCTGAATTAAAAGCTTGAATATGCATCTATTCTGAATGTGCATCTATTTCAAGTGAATGGGTTGCTTTGAATGTTTTGGAAGTGTTTTGAGATTAAAACAGAGATGTCTCAAGCTCAAACACTTCCAAAGTGCTCTAAGTGGCCTGTCTGATACATGAAATAGCACTCATAGTGGGGCAGAGTGTTTCAAACTCAAAACAGTTCAGATTTAAAACAGTTTGCACACTCCTACTACATTGTATTGTATGAGACAGGAACTATAGCATACAGTTAAACATTCTTTACTGTTCAGATTGACATTTGGAGTGAGATACAAGGGAGGCTAATGTTTAATCTTGTCTTTTTGTGGGGATGCAGAAAACTTGATCTGTAAGCTCCAAGAAACAGTAATGTTATTTAGCCATACATATGAAATATGTACAATGTGATTATTTTTTGTAGTGACTCTGCTTGCTGTACTTTCTGTTCTGTTTCAAGGTTGCAGGCACACACACACAGACACAGTTACTAAGGAGCTGAAGTATTTACTACCATTTATGCAGATAACAGCAGACAGGATCATAATTCAAATGCCTAGCAAAGAGCACTTGCCTGAAAAGTGCCTATTACAATCCAAGAAGCAGGAGAGTAGTCCAGATACATTGTAAGAGTCACAGATTGCCAAATCAGGTAGCCAGCCGGTCCAAGGGTCACAAACAAGAAGCAGGCACAAGAGTCACAAGCTGGAATTCTGAACGGTTGTTTCCAACAAAGACCGAAAGCAAAGCAGCTACATAAATCTGTCTACAAACAGCTGGCTGCAATTACTCATGCCTCGCCCTTTGCCTAGTGAGGAACCTCACTGAAGAGCATTGCTCTGCTCGCTGCTGCCTGTGTCTAGATCTGGGGCTTGGGAGTTGTGCCTCATCATCTGACTGCTCCAGCTGAACAGGAGATGCCTGTGGCTGATCAGCCTCAAATGAACCCTGGCTTAATGATTCCTGAGGCTGACAATCCTGAGGCTCAACTGGAGCAACATCCTCAAAGTCAGGGTCAGAATCAGATTCTGAATTGTGGCTCATAACACTGTCATAGTAAGCATCCTTTAACAAATGTACGTATATATTCAGATGAAGTTGGACAATTAAAACCGGTGTAGTTATGAGCCATTAATACCTTCTGGGGAAGATTATTATCAGAGAAGCTCTTCAATTTTGGTTTATTTGGCTGCCAACTGATGGCTGTCACACTGTCTGAGACCAGAGAGTAAGCTCTTGGCTTAGCAATGAAATGGTTTATCATAATCAGCTTTCTCCCCTGGAATGTTGTAGGTACAGGAGGAATGCGCTGAAATGGCACCCAGATAAGAACCCAGGGAACAAGGAATATGCTGAAAGAAAATTCAAGGAGATAGCAGAAGCATATGAAGTGCTGTCAGACGGTAAGAAATCAGGAACCTTCTGTGTGCCCCATCCTGCTTTCAGTCCTTAGGATTGTTCTTTTCTGAACTGCTCCCTATATACTTTAGGATGGCTTCTAGCTTTCCTTCCTTGCATGACACAGTAGCCTCTGTATATATAGTAACTCATAACTCACTATGTTGCTGTGCAACCCCCATTCCTTGATCTTTCTTCTCCCAAGATACCCATGGAGCTATCCCTAGGTCTTCTGCCTTCCCTTTGTCTCTTGCTAAGGAAGGCCCAGAGATCTTTGCCAAGGAACCAGGAGTAGTTCCAGGTTTTCTGCTGCTGAATGTTGGCTGCTGGCTATAGCTGTTGGGCCTCAGCATTGTAGTGGGAAGGTTAGATACCCTGGTGGGACTGTGCAACTCGTATGGTGAAAGCTGAATGTGTTTAAAATAGAAATTGTGTCCCTTTGCATGTCTTTTTTCCAGATTATAAACGTGACCTTTATGATCTCTATGGATTGGAGGGCCTTCTAAATCTAAGTACAGGTAAGGATCCTATTCTGAATGTTTCAGAGATAGTTGACATGAGGCTATATTCTCTGTGCATGCATTGGATGTGTTTCGTGTGTTAGTGCTGGTGGTTGTCACAATTAGCCTCCTATGGAACCTATGCTTTCCCCTGCCACCCTGAAAACATGTGAGTTCATTTAGCACCCCAGGGCAGTATTCAAACTGTGCATGACATCCCATGTTTTTCCCATGATAGGATTTTCTATCCTATCAGAGATAGAATTTATACAGTTTCACAAACATTCCTCTGTCGAAAAGCCAAACTGTTCAAAATGACGAGGGATTTAGTATTTGATCAGTGCTTCTACAACTGTCCCCTTTGTGTGTGTATGTGTGTGTGCGTGTGTGTGTGTGTGATGCTCTTATTTTAGAGCATCTCTCCTGTCTTGTCTGGCATGACTCTGCAAGAGACACTGGCAGGAAAAATGCCCTTTTTTGAAGAGTGAATCATAAATGCTAGGAATTGTGATCTCTTAGAGTTACACTCCTTTATAGTCAGGGGTCTTCTTCCCACCGTCCAATTCAGCAGAGGACTCCCCGCTTCTTCTGGGTCTGCTGCAGACTTCTGTGGGCACAGGGATCATTCCCAGCCTCAGCTGTCTTAAGCAAATCTTAAGACTCCTTCCTCTTTCTTCCTCACTTTGGGAAAACTGCGATTTGTGATGGGCAGGTGTCTGATTTGTTTTCTGCAAGGAACGGGAATATTCCCCAGCACAACAGGGACCCCTGATCTCATGTTCACCTTTCGGGATGCAGATGAGGTCTTCAGAGAATTTTTCGAAGGACAAGATCCCTTCACTGAAATCCTTGGTAGGTACAGCTAGCACATAGGGGACGTGATGTAGAAATCAGCTGTCTTGGAGACTGTACTTTCAACTCAATGCTGTCAATACTGACAGCAGCAGATCTTCAATATTCCAGTGGTGAGGTCTTGGTCAGCCCTACCACTCAAGACCCTTGTTTATCTGGAGATGCCAAAGACTAAATTAAATGTGTTCTGTCAGAAAGGTATGTCCCCATTTTTATATATTAAAACTATTTATGCCATAGGCATCTAAGGTATGTAAGGGTAATTGGTAACTTGTGCATCATGATGTCATCATGCAAATGCCACCACTTAGATAATTGTGTCAGATGTCATGACACAAGTACATGACTGTAATATTTGTATGATGACATTATATACTTGTCATTTTGATGTCACTGGGATTTGTTATGGATGCCTTTTGTTTTCTTAAAAAAACAGGAAGCATCCCAAGCATTGAATGCTCTTCAGCCATTGTTCAATATTTTCCAAAAGAAGAAATAGAGAGGATTTAAAAGTGAGCATGCAAAATGAAGGTGATTAGGCAAAAGTCTTATTAATGAGGAAGTTGTTACCCAAGAGTCACATACTAAGTATAGATCAGTTGTCGAAACTTGGCCACTTTAAGATGAGTGGACTTCAACTCCCAGAATTCCCCAGCCAGCCATGCTGGCTGGGGAATTC